ACCGTCCTCATGCAGCTTTTCCATGACTCTGGCAACACCGACGTGGAGGGCATTGACACCACCAACGCCTGCTATGGGGGCACGGCCTCACTCTTCAACGCAGCTGCCTGGGTGGAGTCCAGTGCCTGGGATGGTGGGTGCAGGCAGGGACCATCACGTGGGGCTTGGAGGGATGGGTAGGTGCCATGGGATAGGGGAAGGAGGCAGGAGGTGACTTGAAACCCAAAGATACTCTGGCAAGTTTCAAAGCCAGACACTGCTCCTCCATCACTCCTGCTTCTTGCCTACCTTGGCTGCGACAACTGGCAGCATTGAGATAGGAGTACACAAGGGCCATGGGATGGAGACTTCCACCTGGTGATGGCCCTGCCACTCCCACCGTCCTCCCCCAGGTCGCTACGCTGTGGTGGTGTGTGGGGACATCGCTGTCTACGCCACGGGCAACGCGCGGCCCACGGGAGGTGCCGGTGCCATCGCCATGCTGGTGGGACCCAACGCCCCACTGGTGCTGGAGAGAGGTTGGTGTCATGAGACCTTGGGGATGGTGAGCTGATGGATACTGTCCCTGGGGGCCATGCATCCATGTCCCAACCTTGGGCAGAGCTCCTCAGCTCCAGCAGCACTGGCTCTCACAGCCTCATGCTGGATACTTCAGGATCCTGGTTAGCCACATCCCCGTGGGCACCACGGAGTGACCCAGGGAGGCTGTGGATGCTGGGGCTGGCATGGCAGGTGGCACCCCTGGGTGCTTGCCATTGCGCTGGGACTCACCAATGCTCCCTGACAGTTGGCTCTCCCTGTGCCTCCAGGCCTGAGGGGAACCCACATGGAGCATGCCTACGACTTCTACAAGCCAGATCTGTCCTCTGAGTACCCAGTGGTGGATGGGCAGCTCTCCATCCAGTGTTACCTGCGGGCACTGGACCGCTGCTACGCCGTGTACCGACGGAAGGCAGAGAGCCAGTGGCAGCAGGGTAAGTGCTGGCACCTCTGCAGTGCCCACCCCGTTCCCCTGGTTGCTGAGGGCCCCATGTTGCCTTCCAGCTGGTGTCCAGCGGCCCTTCACCCTCGATGACTTCAAGTACATCATCTTCCACACACCCTTCTGCAAGCTGGTACAGAAGTCCGTGGGGCGGCTGATGCTGAATGACTTCCTGGCCTCCCCCAACCCCGACACAGCTGCTGGTCTCTACAAGGGGCTACAGACCTTTCGGTGGGTGCCTGCGCCGTGTCTCCCATCCCTCAGCCCACCAGGCATGTGTCACTCTGGGTTTTGAGACAGCCTCTCTTTGGGCAGTGGTTTGAAGTTGGAGGACACCTACACCAGCAAGGAGGTGGAGAAGGCATTCCAGGCTGCCAGCCAGGACATCTTCAACCAGAAAACCAAACCCTCCCTGCTCCTCTCCTCCCGCAATGGCAACATGTACACGCCATCAATGTATGGCTGCCTGGCCTCCCTCCTGGCACAGTGAGTCTCCCAAAACGCTGGCTTGGCAGGGAGGGAGGAGGTGATTTTGGGGAAGACAGTCCCTGGCTGGCTTGGGGAGCAGGCACCAGCATTCATCTCCCACCCCAGCAGAGACCGGATGTTTTCATTGCATGCAACTCCTAGCGTGGATGTATCCTGCTCCATGCCATCTCCCCAACAGCCTTTTCATCCCAGCTTGCTGGAGCTGGGCCAGTGCATAAAGCCCTTCTGTCATTGCCAGGAGGATGAAAACACCGTTGTCATGCCTGGCAGAATGGCTGACCCCACGGGAAAGGAGCCGTGGGAACAGACAGGCACTGGGGGGAACACAAGTCTTGTCCTGGGGCTCCCTGGCACCACCACACTCCAGGGCTACATACCCTTGAAAACGTAGCCCCATGACCCAGGATCTCCGTGGCAGGAGGCAGCTCCCTACATCACCCCCCTAGCCCTGTATCCCCAACCTCCTCTCACCCCAAATCTCCTCTAACTCCCCCAACCTCCTGCCTCAGGTCTTCGGCACGGGACCTGGCTGGCTCCCGGATCGGTGCCTTCTCCTATGGCTCGGGACTGGCTGCCAGCATGTTCTCCTTCCGTGTCTCGCAGGATGCAGCCCCAGGTGAGCCCCATGGGAGAGGGGGACTGGGAAGGGAGGGTGGCATGGGGCTGTGGAGCCGGGGCTGCCAGCAGTGCCATCTCACCCACGGGGTGTTTGCTGCCAGGCTCACCCCTGGACAAGCTGGTCTCCAGCCTGGCTGACCTGCCGGCTCGCCTGGACTCCCGCAAGCGTGTGGCCCCGCAGGACTTCGCTGAGATCATGAAGCAGAGGGAGGAGACTCATCACTTAGGTGAGTGGGGCTGGGGGGATGTGACACCTCCCTCTTGAGACCCCACAGTACCCCAGAGCATCATTATCCTCTTCCTGCAGCCGACCATGCTCCCCATGGCTCCCAGGCGGATCTCTTCCCTGGAACCTGGTACCTGACACGGGTGGATTCCAAGTACCGCCGTCAATACGCTAGGAAGCCCATCTAGGGGCAACCAGAGTGGTGAGCCCTGGGGAGGCAAATGCTCTCTTCCCCACCATCACCCCTGCTCATCCTCAAAACCGGGGCTGGCCTCTGTGGGAAACCTCACCTTGGATGGCTGGGAAGTGGCCAGCAATGCCTTGGGCCCCAGAGCGGGTGGATAAGAGCAGCATCTTCTGCAAACAGCTGGGTGGTGCAGGGGAATAAAGGTGTGGATGAGAGGGGTCAGCAGCCCAGCTCTGGCTCCCGCTTTTGAGTGGTCTCCTCCTGCCCCAGGACCCTTCCCTTAACAACCCTGGGTCTGGATTGCAGCCCCTTAGAGGATTTATCCCATGGGCACCCAGCGTGGCTATCTGCTCTGTTAGATGTGTGCCTTAGTGCACCCTACTTCCCCAGGATGGGAGTGGGTCCTGGTATTTTGAAGGAACCAAGTAAACCTCAGCCTCCCAGTCTCCTGTTTGGGGGTGGTAAGATGCTGTTTCCCACGATGTCATGAAATTGAAACATCCTTATGGCAAAATCTGGGGGGCAAGAGGTGGCAGGTGATGCAGGGGCTCACGGGAAGGCTCATCCCCCTTGGAGCACTGCACTCTGGGCCTTGTCCCGGCATGGGACTGTGGCCAGATGAGACCTTGGCAGGCAGAGAGACCTTTGCACCCTTCAGCAAACAGCAGCAAAGCTGGGGGGTGGCAGGGACAGGAGGGAGGAGGGTTGGGGTTGGGGACAAGGGATCGCACAGACAAGGCATCACATGCTCTCTCCTTTTGGACCCTTTATTGAGTGCGGGGCCACCCCAAACCCAGCATGGGGGTCAGGGATGGCCAGGTGTGATGCTCGCCCAGCTGGGGGAGGGTCCAGGTGCTGTTGCCATAAGGAGAGTGCTTGTTGGCAGTCAGGGTCTACAGGTGGAGCTGGAAGGCTTCCGTGACATGTGGCTTCAGCTCGCTGAGGTCGGACAGGGGGCCCGAGAGCCCCACGACATTCCACTGCTCCCCTGCCATTGGGCTGGAGCTGTGGTAGGACTGGAGCTGGATCCTCACCTTCCCCAGCAGCCCTGGAAAGAGGAGGGGTTAAAGGCCACAGGCTGCCCCACCGCCCCAGCACCCAGTGGGGAGCTGTGGCTTTGCTCACCCCAACACCCTTCAAAGGTCCATGGTACCATTTCTTCTCCCACCTCGAGTTCTTTGCTTCATATCACCCAACCCCTGCCCAAGCCCTCCCATCCATCTCTCCAGGTAACATTTGCCCCCTCCCTGCTGCAGCAGGGTCTCAGCTCTGGGTCAGATGCAGGGGCCTCCCAGGCTGCCCCTCCTCCTTGAGGCTGATGCAGGAGCTCACCAGTCAGCACGGACAGAGCAGTGGGATCGGAGGCTTTGGCTCTGTAGATGAGGAGGTGGCCAGACAGCTGGCCTGGCTGCTGGAAGGTGGCCCCGCTGATCTCCCGCAGCACTGGGGTGCTGCCCTGCACTGTCCCAGTCACTCGGTGTGGGGTGCCCTGCAGGGACACCTGCACCAAGCCAGTGCTGCTGTCGGGCTCGGGGGCCACATCACTGTGGGTGGTCGTGACCTGCCAGAGAGACGTGGCTGCTCAGTGCCCAGGTCCTGTGCGTGGCAGGGTGTGGGGAGGAGATATCCTCAGAGGCACCCTGGGGATGTCCCCTCAGCCTCAGAGCTGCAATAGCAGTCCCACAGGCTGCCCCCCAGCTCATGCAGCTTGGTGGGGAAGGACAGGATCTGAGTGTGCCAGGCTAATGTGCAGAGCCCGGGTGTCCACGCACCTTCAGCCCAGCCTCCTGGGCCAGCAGGGTGGCGTTCACCAGGGTCACCTCCTTCTGTGCTGCCCCAGACAGCATGCCTGCAGCCACGGCAGGTGTCAGGTAGCTCCCAGCCTCCTTCAGGGATGTCCCTGGGGCACAGAGAGGAGGTGGGGGTGGATGAGCCAGCAACAGAGAGGTTAGCCTTGCACTGGAGCAGACAACCTGGGACAGGTCCTTCCACCCACCCAATCCATGTATCCATCCCTACTCCCATCCTCCCACCTTCCCACTCATCCATTCCTGCATGTCCCTGTGCTCCAATCCCAGCACCAACCAACCTCCTGTCCATTTTTTCTCCTGGCTGCCCTCCTACCTGCCTGGCCCAGAGGGCCCTGCACACCTTCCCACCCATCGGGGTCCCCACACCCAGGAATGGGGTGCAGCCTGCCCAGCTCACCTAGGGTGCAGACCTGCATGCTGCCTTGCACTTGTCTGGCTGCCACATGCAGCACCATGCCCAGGGTCTTGGCCAGAGCGATCCAGGGCTTGGTCTGGGGTGCAAAAGCCTTGCTGAGAGCCTGCCCATTAACCTGCAAGGGAGAGCAGGGCAAGCGGTGAGAACCCACCAGTGAGCACACAGGGTTGCTCCTAATGCATCCGTGTGTTACAGATGGGGAAACTGAGGCACAGAAGTCAGGTGCCTAGTGAGGGGACTCACTACGCCAGTCAGCCCCTTCCCCGTGGCCATGTCCACGATCTGCATGGCGATCTCCTTGCCGCAGCGGCTCTGTGCCTCCCGTGTGCTGGCACCCAGGTGTGGGCAGGAGATGACATTGGGGTGGTTCACCAGGTCACGGTCCTTTGGGGGTTCCTGCAGACACAGTTCCATCCTGCCATCAGCCTCCAGCACCACATGGCAGCTCAGAGGTGGGGGGCATTTACCCCCTCCCTTGCAAAGAGGGAAGCTGGGGAGGGCTGTGCCTGGTCCCAGTCCCACAGCGGTTGCCAGGCTG